AAGATTAGCTCAGGATAGGAAAGGGTGAAGATGCGTGTCCAACCAGTCTTAAGACTGACGATCTTACGATGATGACGATGATGATTGTGTTTGCACTTTCTGGTAATTATGGATTTGTTTGCACTTTTGAATGCCAGCATTTTATATTTAAAAATGCAGTTAAACTTTGATAATTGCTGATAGTAATACTAAATTATTTTTGTCTGTTAAGAATCGTTGTGGTATTGAAAATAGGCTATCGGTAACATAATGAAAACTTTATTAAATCGGCTGCTAACATGTTTAGATAGAATGAATCGATTACAAAATGTCATTTTTTGATTTATAAACTTCTTAAAAAATTGATAGATATGTACGTATTTACCATCTGTTCGATGAAACTGAAAAAATTGTGTGCAATTACCAAATGTCCAGTGCGCGTTTTAGAATTTAACGTTTTTGTTAACATTTAAGTATGTGCTGACATATTTACCATTAGAAACGGCACTTTCTTAAATGACCTCCAAAAAGGAAACAAATGTAAGCTCAACGTCTATATAATCATAAAATTATATTTTAACGATTCTTTTCATAATCCAGTTTTACTAATGTAGCTCTTGGTACTGGATATCATTCTTATTCGGGTATCATTTCATTATAACATTATAATCCCTCTATGATTTAATTTGATAGATTCACATTGAATTATTCACCATTTCTTTTTGATATTATTATTTTTTTCTATTGACCTTTGCACTGATTTAACCAGTATCTTCAAATCACCAGCAGATATAATTAATGTTTAATGTCGGTTTCAAAAAAATACGAACACAGGACACAATGCTTTATAAAAACTTCAAATAAGTAGGTTCCAATTTTATGTTCCAAGTTAAGCAGTGTCAAAATGGTACCTTTGATTTTAGTAACATAATAATAAGCAGAAATTTGTTCACTTTCGTCAGTTCATAACCTCAATCCAAATCTCGTTTGTCCAGAAGGTGTCATTGAAGATATACAGATTTTATACCATTAATGTGACCATTTTCTAATCAATTAAAAACAGTCGTACATCCGAAGGTCTCACTAATTACCAAACAAAGTCAAAAAAATAAGTAGGAATACATTAAATAACTGTAATGGATGATAAATTAACATTAGCGATAATAATTTCTAATTATAAAAATTGAGGTCTACGTTAATTTAAATATTTTAACCTGCTTTCAAGTCTTCCACACACCTATACGTATACAGTACACATGTATGAATACACCTTGCTTTTAATACCTATCGCACTTTGTGGAAAGCGCACTGTGCAAACGTCATCGGAAACTAAATATTTTTGCCTAAAGCGATACTTATGTTCTTTTCAAAGGTCACCTGTGAAATAGCCATGGCGCTCAGTGGTTTTACGTTTACAATACGGTAGGTATACATACAAAAATAAATAGGTAAGGCAAAATGTTCACGGAATATAGAAAATACACATTTCTTTATGGGCGTTTTTTCTTCTCATGTCGTACAAGCGAAAATGCACAATTTTTCAATCACGTTCATCTGAAAATCAGTTAGGCTTTTCCCTTACAGTTATTTGGTGAATTATCTACCACCTAATGTTAATTCTGCATTTCAAATTGACCCTACAATCTTTTTATAGCTCATACAGAGAAATCCGTTGGCAATTAGAAATGGAAGTGGTCCATGCAGTACGAGTTTCAGATACCAAAGTTGTAATGATGATGCTCCGCTCCGAAACTGAATCGATATCAATCGGAAATCGGAAATTATCGATTAAAAAGATTTAACGTATTCGTGAACAACGTTATATACACACATAAACACTTTAAATTCCTTATGATAGCTGCTAACACTGACATATCATCTGCGAATCTAAGCATGCTAACCTTTTGTTCTTGCATATCTATCCCTAGTGTTGTCATGAATTGAATGATGTTAATTATACTTTCGAAGCATAAATTAAAAGGTATCTGTGAAAATGTGCATCCTTGTCTAATGCCTTCCTAATATTTATTTATTTTCTGTTCAAGTTCTATAATGATGTGCTACTCTTTATACAAATAATCTCCGTGTCTCATTCCTAGATTTTTATGTTTATTCAACAATGTCAAAAGCTTCTTCTAGATCTACGAATCTCAATCGGCAATTTTATTTGAAATCTAATGGTTTTTATAGAGCTTATGTTAATATTCTACGTCTCCTTCCAGTGTCAGTATCATATCAGCTTCTGGTTTAATTAAAACGCCCTGCATAAAACTCTAGTTTACTGTAAATGGATGACGACCAATCAAATACCTTCTCGACTGTCGTCAGTGTAAATATTTCCAGGTGGGCCATATATGTAAAGGCAACCTACAGCCACGTCTGTAGCGGCGACATAAGCACAATAACCTCTTATTGATGAAACAGCTGAGAATTCCAATGCGGATTTGAATTTTGTGAAAGTTGAGAGAGAGATTATTACTCCTTGCCGCGACTGCCGATTGTCGGCGCGTCTACTGTCTCAGCTCAGGTGGACTTGCTCAATGGTTGTTGCGTAGAAGCAACGCAATAATAGCAGGTCATCGTTTATTGAAACACCTGACTTTTTAAAAGATATCGAACGCCTGAAGAAGCAAACGAAACTAATACCTGTGTAGTACTAGAAGTAGTTAAAATGATAATTTAGATTTAAGAAACTAAAAATGAGGTTATCTTCATTTCAAAGACAATAAATGGTACCTGGAATATAGAAATATAGATTTTGATACATAATAAAAAACCTTGCATATAATCTGAAATTTTAATTATCATAACGTCTTCATCCCACTGGTTGGACATGTAACCATCACCCCGAACCGTTTGCGAACAGTTATCTAGGTCTACCTCTGATCCTCCTCGCTCCTCTAACTAGCGCTTCATTTCTGACTAGGTGTCCTAACCAATCTATCTCGTTTACTCCTTATCGACATCCATGGCTTCTTCTGTTCACATATTCTTTCTAATGCCTTCTCATTTATAATTTATCCATCCATCCAATTAGCAGTAAATATCAGTTTCTGCACTTTGACAATTCATCAATTTGCTTTTTATGGAGCAACTTCAGTTTCTTCAGTGACTTGTCGATTGATGAGAACTAATAAGGTCTAGGAATTTTAGTAAATATTGCGGCCCAAGAACTTAATGTCCTTTATTTATTTGTCCATTTCTTAAAGCCAAGGAGTTCACACTTTTCTTAATTTCTTTTGATTGCTTCTCCTCCTGCCAGCCTTATGGGTAACAGCCAGGAATAATTTTTTTTCGTTATCATAAGGTCTTCATCCCACTGGTTAGACACGCAACCACCATCTCGAACAGCTTGCTAACAGTAATCTAGATCTAACTCTGCTCCTCTTCGCTCCTGTTTCTACTTTTAATATATCTCTAAATAGCGCTTAGCGTCTCACTAGGTGTCCTAACCAATCTATCTCGCCTATTCCTTATCGACATCCATGGCATCTTCTATTTACATACCCTTTCTAATGCCTCCTCATTTGTAATCTATCCATCTATCCAGTTAGGAGTAAATATCAGTTTCTGCACTCCTTATCGACATCCATGGCGTCTTCTGTTCACATACCCTTTCTAATGCCTCCTCATTTGTAATCCATCCATCCATCCATCCAGTTAGGAGTACATATCAGTTTCTGCACTTTGATAATACATAAATTTGCATTTTATGGAGCAACTTCAATTACTTCAGTGACTTACCGATTAATGAGAACTAATAAGGTCTAGGAATTTTAATAAATATTGCTGCCCAAGATCTTAATGTCCTTTATTTATCTGTCAATTTTTTGAAATCAAGGAGTCCGCACTTTTCTTAATTCCTCTTCATTGCTTCTCCTCCTGCCAGCCTTCTGGGTAACAGCCAGGAATAATTTTTTTTTTCATTGTCATAAGCTCTTCATCCCACCAGTTGGACACGCAACCACCATCTCGATCAGCTTGCAAACAGTAATCTAGGTCTACCTCTGCTCCTCTTCGTTCATTTTTCTACTTTTAATATATCTCTAAGTAGCGCTTCGTATCTCAGTAGGTGTCCTAACCAATCCATCTCGCCCACTCCTTATCCACATCCATGGCGTCTTCTATTTACGTACCCATTCTAATGCCTCCTCGTTTGTTAGCAATAGATATCAGTTTCTGCACTTTGACAATACATCAATTTGCTTTTTATGGAGCAATTTCAGTTTCTTCAGTGACTTGTCGATATTTTAAAAAATATTGCTGCCCAAGATCTTAATGTTCGTTATTTGTCTGTCAATTTCTTGAAGTCAAGGAGTTCACACTTTTCCTAATTGCTTCTCTTCCTGCCAGCCATATGGTTTACAGCCAGAATCCATATTTTCAGAAATAAGTTTCCATTAATTCAATCTTCCGCAGTTTTTAGTTTATGCTTCTTTACTTATTGTACCGTTTAGTCTAACAATCAACTTTTGTTCAAAAATGAGTGTCCCTGCCGGCCAGCTCAATAATAATACACCCTGTATAATTCATTGTAATTATACCAAAGTTAATGAGAGTGTAATGTAATGTCACGTAACGTAACGCAAACCTCCGCTTTATTTACTGCCTTGTTTTTACGACAATTCCATTAATAATTTACATTCACTCGACTGCTTCTTAAACCAAAACCGCAGAAGCTCGTGTAGTAATTAAATTGTAGGTACTTAATACTTATTGACAAATGCCAATACAATGCGGAGCGTCTACATCATGTTCAGATATGATACATGTAGGTATGTAAGTACAATCACGTTGCTAGCAGCGTGCACGGTCAGGTGCACTCTGTCCATCAAATTAATTATTAGTTTAAGAAAGACAAAAGAACTGTTTCTTGCATTCCTTTCGTACCATTCTATTTTTTATATGCAAATTATTCAAATTAAAAGTAAAATACCTACGTGAATATCGTTTGTAATTTATTTACTGCATGAGTAGGTACTATCACAATATTTCACTCAAACCTGTCCATGGTTATGATTTTAAGATTCGTTATTTTATTTCCTCCTATTAACAAGTCACTGTTCGTTATCCACCCTTTTCTATCTCAAATTTTACTGACATTTCAGGAACATGGGATATAGGTCATAGCTTAGTATTCTGGATGCCACCGGTCTGCTTCTAGATCTGCTCGCCATGATATTCCACAGGTAGTGTTTCAATTTACTCCTGTCTTCACTTCATCCACTTCATTTTTCTCTTACCAACCCCTACGAAGCCATTCCCACAATAAATAATAAAAGGAGGATGAGAGATCCTTCCGCCCTCACCACTGACGTTGCGGTAGAGTGCTGCTCGAAGAGCCTGCTCCTTCATCAATGTTATTACCTGAAACTCACAAATGTTTTCTTTCCTTTGGATGGCGCAGGTAAAACGCAGGAGCAGATAAAATATTCCACAGCTAAATATTCTTTCACTTATTCTTTCTTTATTTCATCCAACTCGCCTGTCTCTTCCCAACATCCACACACCAATTTCCACAATAATTAATAGAAGGAGGATAAGATAATTTTCTGGCCTCCCCAGTGACATTGCGCTAGAGTCCTGTTCGGAAAGACTGTCCATCCACAAGAATTAGTAAGTGTTGAGAATAAAACAAAACATTGCTTGAATCCCGTAGGCAAAATATTGGAGCAGATAAAATATTCCACAAATAAATAAATCTTTCACTTCTCTTCTGGCTTCTTTTCGTCCGTCTTGTCTGTCTTTTCCTAAGCACCATCCACCCATTCCCACAATAATTGATAGGTACAAGAAAGGCGAAAGAGCCTTCCGCTTTCCCCACTGGCTTCGTATTGAAGTTTTGTTCCAAGATACAACTCGCCCACTACTAAGGTGGAGGTAAAACATGCAAATGTTTTCATCTGAGGTAAAGTGATAAAGCAGGGAGCAGTAATATTTCAGATACATTTTCACTCTTCTAATGCCTTCATTACGTATGTCACCACTACCCAATGTTTCCCACAACCCCTAAAACAGGCTGAAGAGGGCTTCCCAACAGTTTGTACAACAGTCTATATTTGTGGGATGGTGCCCCAATCGAGTGAAACAAAATAAGCTTTTTTTTAAGTAAGCATACATGCATAATGTGAGGTTATGTCGAACTAACTTGCGAATTGTAAAGTGGAAACAGAAAATTTAGTTTAAAAGAAAAAGAAACTGGGATTTCCGTATCATAATCAAGAAATGTCTTATTTGTGCCTTGATAGGCGACGAGAGCACCGTTGTAAAATTGAAAGCTCGGAGCTGTTCGAAACAACACGCAGAAAATGAGGAGGATCGTTTCATTTTACCTTCGCAATCTCCGCATTCTTGCTAAGATAGCTATTTATTCGCTAGGAACGATCATTCTTAAATAATTATTAAGTCCAAAGGAAAGGAAATACGTACGAATGCGATGTTGCGCAATGTTGAGTTCGTTTTTGCGCGCACTAGACGTTACCCAAGCAATTAAATACGATTGCGAATGAAGAATGAAAAACGACAAAAACGACTCGCCACATGCCAGGAAGCTACTATACAGAGAAGTTTATCTGAGGCATTCCATAATTATATTTTGTTACAGTTCATTGCAGTTACAAACGTGTAGATACTGCATAATGACGTGTATCTCCGTAGCGGATGGTCGAAACGTTTTTACCGTTACACGAAACGAATAACCAACAAAAGTAATCTTGTATAGGTACCTAATAAAAATTCGAAATGTCAATTTTTATATTCTTTTATTCTTAATAGAAAGCAGTATAATAAGTGCCACTAGATGTTTCACTCTTCCAAAATATTCTCTTTCTTTCACTATAACCTCACTTTACTCTTCTTTTGTTCTTTATGATTCATTGTTAGCAACTGATATATCTATTTTAGGTAACGTTCGTTATAACTGATCCAGGTGGTACTTTAAATGAAAACGTACATAAGGTATATTATACTTTTACTTGAAGTATTCTTAAAGAAATGAAACAGCATACTTTCATTACTTATGGACGAATGTATTAAAAGGTGAAGGTTTTCTACTGAAGATACTTAAATAGGTTTGATTTCCTGATTTAATTTTTAAAACAGAATTAAAATTAAATAAAGCTAAAGTTAGGGATCTAACCTTATGAAGTCAGTTACACAAAATGGTCGATAAAGGTTTGATTATATTATCGCCGTTCAGCACCTATTCATTGTTATCAGAAACGTGATGGGCAATCATTTGAAAAAAAAAAGTTTTAACGCTTTAGATTGAATTTGTTAAATCAGCGTCAAAACATTAATCCTAATGGGGTCATAAAAATGTAGTAAAAATGTGCGTTTGAAATGTTGTTATGCTTACAAAACCCTCCACGTATTTTAATGTTACCACTAATTTGAGTTAGATAGAGACGCACTAAAAGTAATAAATTTAATAAAACAGTGGTGTTAATATGTTGTATCAAATATAAATTAAAGATGGACACTAAGAACAACCTGTTCAATGCCTCAAAACGTACAAAACATTCGCATGTAGTAGTAACGAAACACCTTTTGATGTTGTGAACTACTTAACTAGTTCGCATGAAATACAGAAGTCAAATTTACCGGTTTTATTGAACTTTGGTTTATTAATAAAATCCACAACTCTAAACAAGAATCTGAAAAAGGAAATTTAAAATAAAAACAAAAAGAAGTTATGGAGAATTCAAAAAAGAGTAATTTTTGATCAGCTTGTCCATTATTTGTTTGCCAACACTGTTGAAAGAAAATCATAAAATGTAGCTGGATCATCTAATTATCTAACAGAGAAATTGACGTAACTTTCTACAGTACATAGACATTTGAAAAATTCGTTCTGCTTACAACTACTGGTGATTCTCGAAATACAAAACTATTGATGGGAGTCGATGCGGCAAGTAATTGTTTTGTTGTTATAAATATTTTGAGGCGATAGAAAGCTTACGCACCCTTAATTACTCAACGACCCAAATGATGGATTTGTATGCTTATTAAACATTCTCTCACACTTACAACAAGAACGTCATCAAAGATGGAATTCTCATTTAAAGTAACCTAACCTAACCTAACCCAATTGGACAACAGTCCCAAAGAAAATACGATGAAGATTTATCAAGAACCGTTAGATTAAGGGCAGTGGTGACAGGCTGAGCAGAACTCAGGTTGGGGTAATACTACTAGGGAGCAGCGATATCAAGCACACCATATAGAAAATTTGAGCAAGAATGACTGACTTTTTATCTTTCTTTCATTTAATACTACAGGAGCCATATTTTATCAATTTTTGGATACATGCGAAAAAAAGGAATTTGTATGAATGTTCCTATGACTTTACGAGAATGACGGGACTTTTTGTTTGATAATGGGGCATACTCTGAGACCTACACAAACACTAGGTACTTCTGAGTAGTCACTGAGTATATATATAGCACCACCAAACATAATAGTAACAATCCCCAGAAGATGCAAAGAAGATGCTGTATGCCGTATAGGTACTTTTGCTTCTCACTGACTTACAACCTACTAAACTTGAATGGAACTTATTCAAAACTAAACAATTACAGTTAACAGAAACCTTCTTATATGGCTTTGAATATTTAAAATCAAATTTAATTTATATGAAGTATTGGTGGACATCGAATTTCCGAATCATCATCATCATCATAAGGTCGTCAGTCCTAAGACTGGTTGCACACACACCTCCACTCCTTCCTATCCTGAGCTAATCTTCGCATTTCCCTAAAACTAGAACAACCCATATCTTTAACTATCTGCTAACAGTAATCTAATCTAGGTCTACCTCTACCCATCCTAACTTCCGTTTCTGCCTCTAATATGTCTCTGACTAGACCTGAGAAGGTGTCCTACTAACCTAACTCGCCTATTTTTATTGACTTTCCTCTGTTTTCCTACTCTTTCCAATATCTCTCCATTTCTACCCTTCTCGGTATCCTCATCATTCACCACATTTTGAACGCTTCTAACCTTCTCTTTTCCGCCGCGCCCACTGTCCATGTTTTGCACCCGTACAGCGCCGTACTCCAAACATACACCTTTAACAACCTTTTTCGAATTTCTAAATTAACCGTTCGCGAGCATAGAAGTGACTTTTTATTGAAAGCGACTCGACCCTGCCCTATCCTCTGCTTTATATCCCTACTACTTCTTCCGTCCTGACTTACCTGACTTCCTAGATACCTAAAATCAGCCACTTCTTCTAATTTGTCGTCTCCTATCTTTATAATCGCTCTTTCCCTACTTTTTCTTCCCTTGCATACCGGTATTTTAGTTTTACTTTTATTTATTTTCATACCGTACTGTTTTGTCAATACCGCTTCCATTTTATTTAAAGCTATCTCTAGGTCCCCCTTGCTAGATGCTAATACTGCTATATCATCTGCAAATCTAAGCATACTAATCCTTTGTCCCTGTATATCTATCCCTGCAGTTGTACTATCTTTAATGATGCTGATCGCGTCTTCGACGTATAGATTAGAAAGTAGCGGTGACAGTGTGCATCTTTGGCTGACTCCCTTCATAATATTTACTTCTCTACATTGCAGCCCCATCTGAAGGCCTCCCGCGTTCCTTTGTTTCTTCTAAACCGAAATTGATCTTCCCCTAATAGTTCTTCCGCCCTTTTTTCCTTCCTCCTTTGTACAATTATAGTTAAGGTTTTTGACGTATAAAATAAAACTGAGTAGGTATGCCGCTATTTCTGTATATTACAATAATTTGCTTTCAGTACGTACATACCCAATGTACTATGTGCAATTTTATAGGAAGTTTTATTGTTTACTTCAATGCATTATTATTCATCCTACAAGGACGGTTTGCGAATGCCAGCGTTTTAAAACGAAATAGTCGGCATAGCAATACCGTTCGTTGTCGTTACTGTTGTCGTCGGTGTTCCCTTTCTAATTGGTAAAAATGTTAATTCACGACTTCTTTGAATTTAAAGTAACGGTAATGGTTCGCCGCGCCTCGGACTTAAAATTCATCGTCAAAATTGACAGTACAATAACCACAATAGATACGCTAACACTTTGCCCATAATAAAAGACACGTATATGCAATGGAGTATTGTAGCTACGTATATTGGGCGAATGACAACAAAACACTTGGAGACTCAAGAATCTCTCAGTGAATCGAGGGCAAACAGAGAAAAGTGGCAGAAATGTTGATGGATCACTAAATGTAATGGAATAATGGAATTTCCACGAGCTCTAGAGAAACTTGCGGCAGTATGTTACTTACTAGTAATAAAGAAAATTATAAGAAGGAAAGGAAGGATTACTCTAGTGAAAGGCATTTACTGTAGTAATTACTTTGGGTATTATTGTAATTGTTTATTGAAAGCTGTTGTACCCATCGTCGTCTTCTATCTCCACAACTCATCCCTACATTTTTAAGTATATTTGAAATCTTGTCCCATTTAACATTGTCAAAAGCTTTTTCTAAATCTACAAATCTTATGTATGCGCTCTTTCCTTTGTTATCCGTAAAGCTAGAACGTTCCTCTATTTCTCCTAACCCAAATTGATCTTTCCCTAATAGCTTTTCCACCCTTCTCTATACAATTCTAATTAAGATTTTTGACGCACCGGAAGTTAAGCTAATTGTTCTAAATGTCTCCCACCTATCCGCGCCTCTCTTTTTAGGTTAGGTTACTACCATGTCCCGTTTATAATCCATTGGGACTTTCTCCGTCTCGTAAATGTGACTAACTACCTAAACCATACGATCTCTAACCTTTTATCCTGCATGTATCCACCTGTACCCACTGCTATAAAAATATGTTTCGACTTCAGTTAATATACGTCTGTAGAACTCAATAATGGGATTTTAGTAGAGTACTAAAACAATATCCATCTCGCAGTACACATTTTGAAATCAGTTTTGATTTTTTGTAAATTATTTAAAGAGACTTACCTTACAGCAGCACAGTAGTGCAGGCTTTCAATGGGGAAAAATCTGGTGATTTTCTTATGATTTTCGTCGACATTTTCTAAAAGAATCCCATTCGACCACACACTCAACCACGAGTCAATTCCTTTGGCACCAGCCGCTCCATCTTCAGGATACAGCTCCCTCAACGGTTGCTGAATACCCTGCAACCCGTCTTTCGATTGTTGTGGAACGGCACTTCCTAAATACAGCACGCGACACCTACAAATCGGCGTTGATTCGGAGTCTTTGTTGTTGGATAACATTTTGGCACTTTTTCTGAATTCTCTACTGGACCCACTAACACGCGAAAAATGAAAATAACTTGTCCTTGTTTATTAATTGTCGCACTGCCCGAAAATGTCTACACAGATTTTCTTTTGGTTTTTATTGTGGCCAACATCATGAAATGCAGTGAATCCATCCGATGTTTATTTGTTGAGAGCCTGAAAGAAACAAAACAAACGTTTCATTATTTTGACATTAAATCTCCCATTAACTTTAATAACAGTAATTGGGAACATTGAAACTTATTTTAACTTAATTTAAGTTCAGCATCTATTTCTTAGGAATTGGTTTACTCATTATGATAACCTGCCTAACCTAAAGCCTTGCTACATAACACTACTGTCGCATAAATTATTGAAAAAAGGTGATTCCGTCGGCATGCATTTAGCATCAGCCACTACCATAGCTTATCTATATTCAAATATTGACATTTAATTGGATATTAAAAGTAGATGCGTCAATTCCATGCTTTAAGTAGACGTTAGTTGTAATATCGGACGAGATAGCCGCACCGAATTACATTACGAACTTGCCTACGCTAGAACCATATCATCATCATCATCATAAGGTCGTCAGTTCCAAGACTGGTTGGACATGTTCCTCCACTCTTTCCTATCCTGAGCTAATCTTCACATTTCCCCAAAAATAGGACATCCCACATCCTTAACTATTTGCGAACAGTAATCTAATCTAGGTCTACCTCTACTCCTCCTAACTCCTGTTTCTGCTTCTAATATGTCTCTGACTAGGCCTTCATGTATAAGAAGGTGTCCTACCAACCTATCTCGCCTATTTCTTATTGACTTCCAGAGAGTTCTCTGTTCTCCTATATATACGTGAAAAAATATTGTATGGTGCTATGAATAAGAGTGACAATCACTATTGATGTATTTTTTTAAATTTAGTTTTCGTTTGTGAGAGAAAGGTTAGAAATGGAGAGGTATTAGAGAGAATAGACAAACAGACAACTCTATGGAAGTTAATAAGATATAGGCGAGATAGGTTGGTAGGACACCTTCTCAAGCATGAAGCTCTAGTCAGAGACATATTAGAGGCAGAAATTGAAGTTAGGTGGGATAGAGGTAGACCTAGATTAGATTACTGTTCGTAAACAGTTAAGGATATGGGTTGCTTTAGCCTTAGGGAAATGCGAAGATTAGCGCAGGATGCGAAAGAGTGGAGGTGTGTGTCCAATTAGTCTTATGACTGACGACCTTATGATGAGTATTCATTTATGCTGAGCAAATTGTGTTTTAAATTCTTTTCAATGTACTTAAATTCATAAAATACTAAACCTGACGTAACCTAGCATATGGATTATTTCATGGCTGCAACAATTAATGCGAACCATATACGTAAAGACATATGGCGAGCTTTTGAACAAGAAAGAATTTCGTCGACTGAAGAGTGACAAAAATCTAGACTGCTAACGGTCATAGTCGCTGCATTAACACACGGCTACCAACTTGAAGGCAAAATTGTCTAGAAATAATGAGTGAAACATTTGTAATATTGTTTGATACAGGTGTATTATAAGTTAGAAATAATATTTGGATGATTAGTAAAGTAGTTATAGAAATAAAGCTGGTATTGATACTGTTTAAGCGTTTGTGTCACCTAATTACACACCAAAATAAGGTGTTCCATTAAGCACTCAAAACACTCACTTTTTGTGTCACTTTGCATTTCCTTATTGGAAAGCTCCGTTTATATTTCGCTGATATTTCAAAGTACGTTTTCGCCAATTGATCACCCTGCTACACATCACTGATCGTAAGTAGTTAGTGGATAGAGGCATGAAGCTGAATGAAGGCAACTGTCATATTTAAAAATCGACGCATATGATAAATGAAATTTTAGCTTTAAAATATATCTATTTTGAAAGTTAAATGCGGGTATTGCAGTGTGTAATGTAATAATACAACCTCTAAAATGTAAAACGGTTTACAAAACATTTTCGATAAGTATAATTTTACTAAAATTTCACATAACACGACGTTGACTCACTTTCAGCGATAAGAATACAATAATGGGTTGTTTGCAATATATAAATATAAACATAGTACCTACTGATGTTTCAATGTAATATTCGTGTTTATAAAAAGTACATAATCATGTGGGTACTTAAGTAGGTATTAAGTACATACATTATTTATAATATATAAACATTTACAAAGTCCTTCGTGCACATACTGTTAGCATTTTAAACTGTTTGTTCAAAGAAAACCTTTCTACCAAATTGTTCATTTGCAAAAAGTCGATAATGGAAGAACGAATAGAAACAAAAATCTAATTTAAAGCGTGCCTAATAATACTTCCTAATAATATGTTAAAAAATTGAAACCTTGATCTTTCGAACGAATTTCTTTATAACTGGTTAACAATATGTAATGAATAAGTCGACATTATTGATTATGTTAATTTACGCTAACGAAATCTTAAACGTTAAACATGAATAGTCTACAAAAACGTCAAAAGTTTGAGCACTGAGCTTAGATTAATTAAAACTATCTTGATTGGTTATTGTGTTTACTACCTTTCTCATGATTACACGAAGCTTTTTTTATTTATTTATTTATCATCAAAAACTGTACATATTATTATAATTATTGAAGGTCATCGTAGGGTCGTCAATCCTGTAAGTGGAACGTTTTTTTTTTAAGGTTTGTTATTAATTATGTTATATTCTTATTTATTAATAAATTGTCGAACCAAGCTTTCCGTTAAACGATNTTGGTTTGCATGGACATATTCATACTTGTCGCGATGCCGCACTTGAATTTCGAATGTGGCTGAGTTGTACGCATACTCAGTGTATCGAACACTTGTAAGGGGAACGAAGCTTTTTTTATTTATTTATTTATCATCAAAAACTGTACATATTATTATAATTATTGAAGGTCATCGTAGGGTCGTCAATCCTGTAAGTGGAACGTTTTTTTTTTAAGGTTTGTTATTAATTATGTTATATTCTTATTTATTAATAAATTGTCGAACCAAGCTTTCCGTTAAACGATTATTTAAGTTTCACGGTCGCGGGAAGGTTATTTTGCTCATATCGTATGTATTCGTGTGTGTGTGTGTGCTTGTCGATTATTATTGAAAGAAAGAAAGAAAATCTGTTATTAAGAAATCATTTGTGTGCTTTCAATATAGTTAGACGGGTGTGATGTCTTCGTTATGTGATTATTAAATGTGTTGGTTCTACAATTTGTGGTGAGTTATCACTGAATATATTTTGCATATTATTATACCCTCATTTTATGGTGAAGAAATTATGATAAGAGGTTTTTGTTTTACTGATTAGTAATAGGGACACCACAGGCGCTTTGGTGCGGGGATGTTAGCCCATGTTTGATATTGGGTTATTGCAGCTGTGGTGGACACGTGTGTTAGCACCCGGCAATACTGATTAGCTAGGGAGGCTACTGAGTTTAGGAATTGGTTGGAATGAGTGAATATCTTCCTGTTTGCAGCAGTAGTCGGTTGTCGCTTTAAGCTACAGTCAGAGCTTAGGATAAATTATTAATTAAAGGGCGTGTTGCAAAATTAGGTACTCATGTTTCTTTTCTTCTCTTTCTGCTAGATAGAGAGGGTGAACGGGAAGACGCAACTGTTACCACTGAGTAAGGGTATCAAAGTACGGGAGCGTCACCATTGGTATTTCTGTTTTTTCTATACCTTTGAGCGCCGGTTGATTTAAGTTATTTAGTGCCTACGTAAAATCTCGTTGACTTCTGTAGCACCTTCTGTTCTTCCACTATTTCTAATATCTCCATATTTCTAACCTTCTCTATCCACAGTATCCTTATTATTCGCCTTGTAACACCATATTTCGAATTCTCCTAACCCTTTTCTTTTCCGCCACGCCTACCATCCATGTATCACGCCCTTACAGTCCCGTTAAACCGAAGTCATCTTTATGTCAGATTTGGCTATACTGGAAGAATATTTTCGTAAAAGGACGCTTCAATCTAGTACATCTAAGATCTGTCTAAGTCTGAGCTGTTTCCACCTTAATAATGAAATGGCTAACAACAAAGTTTATAATCCCCTTAGAGAATCATCTGCTTAAACAAATTAAGACACCAAAATACTTAGGAGTTACTCTTGACAGAACCCCCTTTCGTTATAAAGAGCACCCTCCTCAAACCGCAGCATAAATTCTGTGGTACCACCGAGGATCTTCTGCCTCCATCTTGCGATCTTCAGCCCTGGGCGTAGTTTATTCATATGCAGAGTACTGTGCCCCCATGTGACTCAATAGTATCCACACAAGTAAAGTGGATGTTCAACTGAATAACATAATTTTGGAACAATAAAATCTATCCCTACTCATTAACTGCCTACTTAGAGTCACATTCCGGATACAAAGGGCTCCAGTCAAGGATCATCAAAACTTTTATAGAGAAGTCTCAACTATCCATACACGTGGATATCGATTCCCTTGAATTAAACAGGCTCATGTCAAGACACCCAACACGAGAGACAACCAAATCTCTGATGAAAGACAATTTTAACGTTAATGTGATGTGGAACAGAGAGAATGGTCAACTGAAGCATCTGATGCTTGTAACGATCCAACAAAAATTACATGCTAAACGTTATCCTGGCTCCTCGAAGGACTTCATGGATGTCACACACAGTGCAGTCTAATACACCAGAAGTTCAGATATTTGTTGTGATATTATGCTCGCGTCTGTACTTTACCATAACGAGTTGTATTGTATTCATCGTTTTCTCTTAATCTTATTTGATTTGTATCCCTTCATATTCGTTCATGCGAGTTTATATATTTTACGCTTTTTATATAGATTGTACTGTGTTTGTTATTGTGATGTAGTTATACGTTATTTTATTTCTCTATTTCATATCTCTACTGCTCCTTCCATCCTGAATTATTTGACTTCAGCGACGTCATATTATTATTATTATAAATACATTAATTTATCAGCATTGAAAAGTATACTAAGAAATACATATTACAAGTCCTTAAAGGAATAGGGAATTTTGACTGTCAGTATTAGTATGCTGCGCTATTGACAAATGTCAAGAACTGGTTGAACCCTACATATTTGGACGGATGGTACCGTTGTCGATGGTGCATGAAGCATACAGTTCAATTATGGCGATCGCCCATACCATAACCTAACTTAAGCCCAAAATTAATCATATCATTACCACCTGAACACTTTCTATCAACATATAAATCAGTTTAACTATTTTTGATCACAATAGGAATATGAACGGACTTTAAATGGTGTTGTAATAATTCTTACAAAGGGGTAATTCTGGCAGCGTGCGTTTAGCCACATCTACTGCTATAGCCTACCTATGATTAATACAAATATACATTTCATCAGCCTTTTTAATTTATTAAATGATAATTTTACTGATTTACTTTTTCTTTCCAGAATCGCCCCTATATTGAGATGAACAGAAGTGGTGTTGCATTATTGGGTGAGTTGTTTACGTTAAATATGATTTTTTTGTGGTTTTTATGGTTCTAGAGGATTCATTAATTTAATGATACAATCGAGTGAGTCTCGTAACGACATACTGTAGGTAATATTTGCTAAGTATTTGAGATTAACTTCTAAGTACCATGTAGGAATAATTTATATATTTTTACATAAGATTCATTTGAAAACAAAACAATAGACATTTTGAATTGTAATTTCAATACTGTAGCCAAGAAGGCTAGAGATAGTGGCAATAACTTAGCCCGAAGGAAATGGATTTATGATGCATCATCACTAATAAAGGATAGAAAACGTATCGGTCTCAACAAAACCCAAATAAAATCTTCTTGTCTACTCGTCAAATCATTTGCGCACTACCTTAATGCGCATAGGATCACCGAGCACAGCTTAGTGACGCTCTTATAATAGTTCGCGCCGTACATTAAGCACCAGTCTTTTTGGAAGTAGCTTCTTTAATAATTATGTTAGTAAAGCTAGTGTACAATAAATACCTAATCTCGTAAATGTATGCTAATAGAAGACTCAAGCAACCCTTTTTCATAGTTCCTAATAAGAGAAACGTACTGATGTTAGTAATAAATTATAGGTATAACCACCCCCTTCCTCGTTAACTAACTCCACACATTCTTCCATGGTCCTTCTTTCTTCAAATCCCTCTAGCATGTGCCCTAGGTATTCTGCCTCCATATCACACAACCTACACCTCCTGTCCAACTCCTTGAGGCAGTATTTGCACCCTCTACACTCATTCCCTGTTCTCACTCTAGCCAAGACGCTGATACTCCTCTCGCTTTCTAAATAACTTGGAGTCAAGTCCCCCTGTCAATCTCTCCAAAAGAACTCCCTCAGTCCCACCGCATACGTAGATTCCCCTAGATTTTTAAAATCATCTCCCCTCCATTTTCCACATATTATTATCTTGTCCTTTTCACTCCATCAACTGTTCCTGGTTAATTTTTAACAACCCTAGTGTAGCATCTTTCTCTCTATCGTATCTATTTTTCCTACCTATATCCATGACCTCTTTTCTCTGTAATTCCCTTATTGTATCTCCTTCTTCTACATTTTCTAATTCCCCCTCGTATTCCACCATTCTTTTCAATTCTTCCTCCCACATTTTCCCGCATATGGTTCCCCTCCTTACCACATAGTCCGGTGTAATTCTTTCTAACATTAAAACCCACTTTATATATTTTTTATATAAGACCTCTACCTGTCTTTTTTCTTTCCATACCCATACTTTCACCCCAGAAAACACAATCCCCTCACAACTACATTGAATAGCATTATCCTTCTTTCCCAATCCTCCCTACAGAATTTGCGACTCAGGACTTACACCCTTCCCACGATGGCCTTCCCTTTTTCTACCTGATTAAATAATCAGACACGTAAATACGTGCCACTCATCCTTACTATTGTCTTCCAGCATATATCCAAGATATACGTAATTCTTCACTCTTTCTATTTCCACCCCTTTCCATAGTATTACCTGCTTTCCTCTTCCCCTTCTCCCCCTCTTCTCCCCAAACTCCATTACCTTTGATTTTTCACAATTTACTTCCCATCCCTTTCTTATCAAGTATTTCTCAAGCCTTCCAACCATGTCCCTTAAACCCACATCTGCATACGATACTGTCCCAAAGTTTTTTGTAGTATACAATAAGTAACTAATCTTATAAACGTGTGCCAATAAGAGAATCATGCAACCCTTTTACATTTTTACCTTTTTAATAAAAGAATCGTACTGACAAGTGAAGTGGTGTACATGTAAGTATTACTTTTAATATAGGTACCTACATAATCGCTATTTTTGAAAAACTGGTTCAGTTTTTAGAGACACCAACAACCAATTTTTTTTCATTACCATTATTTGCGACATTGTTCAACGAGATGTTCACAATTCGATTAAAAATAAAACCGCGTGCAACAAACACTGCTGATCAAATAAAAAAATTGATGCTGGAGCACGTTCCTTCATCGGCAACAGTCAACATTAAGCAGAGCGGTTGCTACAGAAAAACGTATTAATGACTAGATCGTATCGTGTCCGGACTTTTTTTTATAGTTTTACAACTAGTTGTAATAAAGCTTACAAGTTTGGCCCATTGCCGAACAGTTAACGGTAACAGATTATGTTGATCTCTTTTCCCTTTTGGTTTTCTCGCCATCATTCTCGCTCTCGAATGTCAAATATTCAATATTTCTATACTACTTACTTATAATAATATATAGCTGTGTTAGCATCTACCAAAGAGGAGTAAGAGATAGCCTTACATACAATTGAAAATGTATTCAGAAATATGTATAGTATGAAAATAAATAAAAGTAAAACAAAAATATGTCTGCGCATGACGCCACCTTGTAAATTTTATATTTAATCATTTTTAAATTTATATTAGTACGTAGGAGAGTAACTATGAATATTTGTAGCACTCATACAAAACATTGCCTCATACTAGACTATACTTTAAAGCTTTTAAAATGTAGTATTATGCCATGGTATAAAGGATACCTAACAAGATATGATGCGTACGAGTTGAAAATTTGTACAAGTCTGCGCATGACGTCACTTGCGAGTTGTCTATCGCGCGATTTCAAATCTAAATTAACACGTAGAGTATCAATAGTCATATAAAACGTTTCATTTATACTAGACAATGCATTATAAATTGTTATTTTTTATCAACTTAAGTTTCGCCGTTTTCAATTATTAATTTTAACGTCTTATAGGGAAAGGCAGCGAGAAAACGGCGGAAAATTGTTATATTTTTCTACAAGTTGCAAACCTTTGGGTTTGTGTAACCCTTTTACCAATGGTTTATGATGGCTTGATTTTATGTATGACTTCGTTTAGTACCTAAAGTTTGCAGAAGTGACAAAATTGCGTTAGAACATATTTCTTTCTGTAAATCGAAAATTGATTTTTTAAATATATTAGCCTCGATATCGGACCCTAATTTTCACATTATTATAGTCCACATTAGTAGTATAATTTATACACTTTTCAGTCTTCTTAAAGAAACAATGAGTCTCTGAAATCTACAAGTATCTGAGTTTCTTATATCCATGGGTATATTATTTTGCGTTAACACGAGTGCACAGAAAATCGTGCTGACGGTCAGGGAAAACGCAGAGTCAACTTAAACCGGTACAGAGTTCACCTGTGCACCCAGTCGTGGTCTGATACGTATGTACGTACAAATTAATGACTTAGATAGATACAAGTTTCCAAAGAATTTGCTAAAGGAGCCAAGCGAAGAACGCGTAGGAATTCGACCTATGCTGAAAACGTAATAACACACCTTTGTATGTAGGTAAACGGATAGAAATATGTGAGCGCTTTACATGTACATGTATACGGTACATATTTGCTTGTACATGTACGCGACCGTGGCTGTATGCATGAATGAATC